ACTACCAAATTGACACCACCAAATTGCAACCCATATTTCTAGACTCACTTACTATCCAAGCTTAATTCAGTTGTGAGGTTGCATTTTAGATATCTATAATAAGAGGCTTTGATGAAATGTTGACAAGACAGTTTGAAAAATTGAAATTTGACCACAAAGTTGGTTTTCCAGAAACTGAAAGTTGCAGATAGTATTTTCTTGATTTATGTGACTCAGTTACAGATATCCCGATCATTCTGCATGGTTTGATATTGTTAGTTTGAAAACCAGTATAGAAAAAACATTTGAATTTGTTCAAAAAGAGTGACAGTTATTATGTTAATCTGTCCCTGCCATTGTTTTCGGTGGCTGAACCGTCTTGGATGTTTATTAGTTTATGTGGTTATGGGGGTCAATTCACTATTCAAGCTGCTGGAGAAGCCACAGTGGGGAGTACTTCCTTATTGCGTCGCCCTGGGCACCGAATCCTCCAGTTTAAATAGATTACATGTATAAAAGTACTATTATACAAAACCCTGTAAGTATAGAATTTCCTCCTTAATTATGCTAATAAAATCCTCATTTGCATAATTTGCCTTTAATTATATACAACTCTCTCTCAGCTACCCACACACCAAAAATGATGAAAATACGTTGTTCCTATATGGACTTATTGGCTTTTAAAGATTTCGCCTGAGTCTCCTGCAGTTCCAGAACAAGCTGCTAGAGGGACCAAACCCACGCCACTTCTTCCTGGCAGGAAAAGCTATCTGTCACCAAAAAGACCATAACATGTTCAGGGCAAAAGATACAAAAACCGGAAGTTCTGCTGCAGTACCAAGATCATCCACCAGGAGGCCCATATTTGACCTTTGTCTTCCTAAGACCTACCAGCATACCAAATATCATCACAATCCATAAAGGCGTTATGAAGTTATGCTGACTACAAATGTGCGAACACACACGCAGACACACAGACAGACAGACACACGCACACACACACACACACATGTACACACAGCCATGCCAAAAACAATACCTCCATTTTTCATGGAGGTAAAAAAGGATTTCTTACATCCATGTAGTTTGAAGCTGCATTCTTGTTGATCCAACGGGTACCTCGCCATACTGGGCACACAGGACAGGTACAGAGTTCTCCTGTGGAATAGGAAAATACAATGTCAGTATCGTGCCAAGTAGTAACACATCTAGAACTACAGTATGGCACTTGTACCATAAAATAAATGTATGAAAACAATAAAACATATTCGTATAAATATATATTTTCAAAAAAGTCAAGAAGTAAAAGCTATCTACGTCAGAAAGTAGCTAAAACGTACACTGGAAACCTATACTGGCTCCGGTGCCTTTTACTACATTGTACCAAGAGCAAGATTGCCAGATCTTCCTGTTCATTATTATCGTTGGTAAATTCTACTTTTCACGCATGCAGTGCTATACATGATTGAAAATTAAAAACGAAAACGAAATTTAAGATGCAAAGAGGGAACATACGTGAGTCTGTGTAACAAGATTCCGGATGGGTGGAGCCACATGCTGATGTCGTGATCGCTCCTTCCTCTTCCGCCGCTCTTCTTCTTCTTGCTGACGTCAGCAGCTCTCCGTACGGCCGTCCCAAACGCCAGGGGAGGGGCCCACATGAACGATGCCGGTACCGGGGCCCAACCACGGGACAGGCCGCGGAGACGGGCGTCAACCCAGGCCATGCTGTACTCCACCGTCACCGACAGGTTCTGCAAACAACCAAGACAAGAGATTCATTTTTTTTATTCCAACATGTAATCCCAAGACGTGGTGACGACACTCAAGTTTTTTTCAACTTATATTAATGCCGTCACCAACACAGGGGACAAATACATGACAGGACAATACTCATTTTTACCTGAGCGAAGTGAGGAAAGTCGTTTAAAGTGCACAAGATCGGTGGCATGTCAGGACTCGAACCCGGGACCTCTAGGTTCCAAGTCGCGCACTCTGTCGCTACACCACACGACCCCACGTGTGGTGTAGCGGCATTCAAACTTCAAGATTCAAACTTCCAGGACATTTTGTTTCACTGGGCACTGTAAGAATATTCGACACTGAACAAGACTATTTCCTGAGGGGGGTGAAAGAGGCTATTTACATCACGGCCCATCACTCTTCACTTAACTATGACGGGGGCCGACATCGTCTACCTTTGACCCAGAGTTGACATCACAGTTCAAAGAAGCCACGTGACACGCCCCACTCAGTCTACTGAGGACGATCAGAGTGACAGGTCGAAAGTTCCAGGTGAGAGAACTTTTTGTGTTGGATCAAAAGTTTTAACTTCAAACATGTAACTACCAAGTTACACAGATGAACTTTCATGATAGTTCCAGAAAGTAGGTGTACAGTGAATGCATTATTGCGAAACGTTTACTGCGGTATTACACCATTTTTATCGTAAACAACATAGAGAAGTACAAGACACAGTGGTGAGCAATTCTAACAAATTGCTAAAGTAGCCTCACAACTGACCAAGAAGAATGCATACAATGGCAAATAACTATAACAGCAAAAAAAAAACCAAGGTTAATGTTATATATTGAACACTGGCATATTATACCATCTTAAAAGATGCAGTAAGGAAAACATTAGTCATTAAAATCAATTTCGTGCTTAAAGCCAAATGTTCAATGACACTTAGCCTTAGGTTGGTTGGTTTTCATAATACACTGACCGCGTTCTCTTCAGAAAGAGGTCCAACATGAAGAATCTTCACCGTCGACGTCACTTCAAGTTTCTCTTCTATCAAACAATGACAAAAATATATATTTTAAACGTTGCTTGCTTCTTTAAAGCATTGTCAGTAAATTCAGCGTTTGAGGACATCAAGATTTTTTCTGACCCTCTCCAATAGCCCTCATTGAGTGTGTAGAGCATAAAGAAGAGAATTACAGGCCCACTTGTAATGAGAGTATTGGAGATGAATTTCATTTTGTTATGACTTGTCCCACCTATAGAAAAGAAAGGGATTCATTGTTACAGACTATCACTACTAAGACAAAATTCACCCAATCTGGTACACAGTACGATACAGTCCATGAATTATTGTCATGTCCAACTACCATATCTGCTTATGTAGGCCAATTTTTGTACACATTTATTCCATAAGCGAGAACATATCATCAATACATGACCATATGGTAACTCAAATACTGTTTAGATAGTAGTTTGTAGTAAGTAAAGTTTTGTAGTAGTGTTGTATTACTGCCATACATTGTGCCTTGTACGATTGTTGAGCAATAAAGTTCATATCATATACTTTAAAAATGCCGATAAAACGTTGAGAAACCGCGTGTATGATTGAGCCACGATTTACTGGGAATGCAAATGAAGGACACCAATATGGCGGATAGTTACCTGTTTGTGGGCTGACGTTGCTGTCGTACCCTTGAGGCATGTTCTCCCCTGTCTTCCACCCGTTCCACTCCTCCTGCGTCGCGTTGTCCTCGCTGGCCAGCTTAGACTTGAACACCGAAGGGTCTTCAAAGATCTTCTTCAGAACAGTCTTCCTTTCTTCCTTCACTTTTGCATGGCTGGTGTCATTGGGTGCTCCTAATGTTGGCAGTTGGGATGCGCTGCACACTTGCGGTGTAGTTGCTGGTTTCATTGGTGACACAGGAAGATCTGTGTTAGTCGGTTCGATTGTACTAGGCTTCGGAGAAATAGTAGAAGTAGGAGTAGCAGTAGTAGTCACAGCAGTAGAAGTAGCATCAGTAGTTATACCAGTAGTAGCTGTAGTAGTAGTAGTAGCGGTAGTAGTCACAGCAGTAGTAGTAGCATCAGTAGTTTTACCAGTAGTAGCTGTAGTAGTAGTAGTAGCATCAGTATTTTTACCAGTAGTAGCTGTAGTAGTAGTAGTAGTAGTAGCATCAGTAGTTATACCAGTAGTAGCTGTAGTAGTAGTAGCAGCATCAGTAGTTATACCAGTAGTAGCAGAAGTAGTAGTAGTAGCATCAGTAGTTATACCAGTAGTAGCTGTAGTAGTAGTAGTAGCATCAGTAGTTATACCAGTAGTAGCTGTAGTAGTAGTAGTAGTAGTAGTAGTAGCATCAGTAGTTATACCAGTAGTAGCTGTAGTAGTAGTAGCAGCATCAGTAGTTATACCAGTAGTAGCAGAAGTAGTTGTAGTAGCATTAGTAGTTATACCAGTAGTAGCTATAGTAGTAGTAGTAGCATCAGTAGTTATACCAGTAGTAGCTGAAGTAGTAGTAGTAGTAGTAGCATTAGTAGTAGTAGTAGTAGTAGTAGTAGCAGCATCAGTAGTTATACCAGTAGTAGCTGTAGTAGTAGTAGCAGCATCAGTAGTTATACCAGTAGTAGCAGAAGTAGTTGTAGTAGCATTAGTAGTTATACCAGTAGTAGCTATAGTAGTAGTAGTAGCATCAGTAGTTATACCAGTAGTAGCTGAAGTAGTAGTAGTAGTAGTAGCATCAGTAGTTTGGACTGCAATCAGAAAAATTATCAGCAATACAGTCGAGATTTCCATTTACTATCTTTTAAATGGATTAGGCATTAAATTTTATGAAAGACTGGAGAAGTCAATAAAGTTAGACTTCAGATAGTGCCAACTTTAGAATAATGCATTCATACACACCATATATATCTTGGACCTAAAAACAAGTATATCTTACTTTGTGTACAGTTAAACCTAAACTTTCCATTAGGATCCTCTGTCCCAAAGCCCACATAGTTAATGACCAGTGGATTCGGAAAACTCATTTTGCTTGTCGGTTCTTTCTCTCCATCTCGCCCCACTGCTATGTGCAGTTTGTCCCTTCTTGTCCAGCATATCCAGAACTTTCGGAACTCGTTTGGTGACAAAATATCTGCATGGAGATAAAGGCATTTGTTTCCAACACATTACTGTGACAATAACGTATTGGCTACAAGGTACGTCGATGAAGGTTAGACATCCAGGTAATACGATACGCCAAAAAGCAGTTACTCAAGCAACTGGATATGATTTTGAAAACGCCAGACGTTTCAGCTAGTATCCACTAGCTTTCGTCAGTGGATACTAGCTCAATCATCATCATCATCATCATCATCATCATCATCATTCATCCTCCGTAGAGGTGGAGCATACAAAGTTAGTTCGCCACAACTGTCTGTCATACATCACTGAGAAAAGTTCATGTCCCTCCAAGCCAGTTTCAGTTTCAATAAGTTTCTTAACTGTTATCTTTGGGCGTCCAACTCTTCTCTTACAGGTATCAGGGTTCCAGAGTAGAAGCCTACTGGCTGGTTCTTCACTACGTATTACATAACCGGCCAAGCTTAGTCGTCGACATTTGACTACTGAAGTTACATTTGGTAGCGAACCGTATAACTGTTCATTAGTAGTGTGTTTCCACCATGGTGTATTGAAAACCACTCGCAACATCTTCGTGTATGTTCCGTTTAGTTTTCTAGAATGTGACATATTCATGACCCATGATTCTGACCCATACAAAAGAATTGTTTCAATACATGCCTTAAACACTAGCTCAATGATTTGTGCTTATAAACCTGCATTTCCCCTCTGGTCTCTCAGTCACTGACCAAAACTAGTGGATACTAGCTCAAATGTCTGACGTTTTCAAAATCATATCCAGTTGCTTGAGTAACTGCTTTTTGACGTATTGGTTACAAGATTTATAATTGGTTTTAAATGAGCAAAGGCTGTTAAGAGTGGAAAATATTAAATTTAAATTTGCCGTGTCTCATACAAATCAACATAAAATCCAGTATAAGAATGTTTTTGATACTTCATAATACCATTTGACAGTCTTTACCTGCTGTTGGCGCAATTAATGTAAATCCCCGTGTGTAGCTAGAGGTGCCTTCTTCGGTATTGATGACAGCAGACAGACCGATACGGACATTCCTCTCAGCACGCGCCTCAAAGACCACGGTTTGGCTCAAGGATGGTGAAATGATGTTTCCCAAGTCAAATGCGCAATCGTACCCTGTATACATGTCGTGTTGCTTTGGTACTGTGCAGCTTGATGCTAGACAAACGAAAATACGCCGACATCAAGACCGTTCTGTTCTGTCCAATGTTATTATTCGTCTTGGGAAGATATTTTTTTAGGCATAAGAAATATTTTTTTAATCTGTCTGCTTTCAAATCCTTTGCTTCATATATTTACAAACTAGAATTGAACATTGCATACAGACAAGATAAAGTACATAAACATAAGGGAAAATTTTCATGGGGAAATTTAATACTGCATTTTCCGGTTAAAGATAGGTACATGTAGTAGGTAACTAATAGATATATAGGTAATTTGTGATCTATTCTAAAGGATAAATGATATGTTTTTGGCATTGGGGTTGCTGAACGGTTAATATGTCTGTTTCCCGGGTTTATTATTATTTGTTTTGCGGTACTACATGTGTCAGTTATATATTTGCCATGCTTTTTGTTCATTTATTTCATTTATAAAACTCAAATCAAGAAAGATTTAAAAAAAACAAGGAAACCTGCACGTGAATCTTACCATAGCTAACAATTCGCAACGTACATTAATTATGATATCAATAAAGTGGACATGAGATACATTCTAGTTCGCGAGGGAAGGATACACTTTGCAAGACGTTCTATAAAATGTTTGACTTTGATAGGACT